AGCCTGACCAACATGGTGAAACCGCGTCTCTACGAAAAAATACAAAAAAAAATTAGCAGAGTGTGGTGGCACATGCCTGTAATCCCAGCTACTCGGGAGACTGAGGCAAGAGAAATGCTTGATCCCAGGAGGCGGAGGTTGCAGTGAGCCAAGATCACGCCATTACACTCCAGCCTGGGTGACAGGGTGAAGCTTCCTTTAAAAAATAAATAAATCAATAAAAGACTTTTTCGTGTTCTGCTTTTCACTTGAAATCAGATTATCTTCGTAATGATCACTAAGGAAAGGAAATTAGTACAATGAAACTCCAAATACTGCTATAACTGTATCAGGCATTTTTAAAAAATGAACTTAAGAGAGTAGAATTACCAGCCAGTAGAAATGACTATTACACTCATATTTATTGAGTGTTTGGTGTGTGCTAGGCACTGAGTATTCAAAATTGTATATGAGATGTGATCTTTGACTTAGAGTTGCCTTTTTTGTTGTTGTTTTTGACATAAGATCTTGCTCTGTCACCCAGGCTGGAGAGCAGTAGAAGGAACATAGCTCACTGCAACCTTGAGCTCCTGGGCTGAAGCACTTCTCCCACCTCAGCCTCCAACGTAGCTAAGATTATAGGTGCATGTTACCATGCCCACCTCATCTGTTTTGTTTTTTGTTTGTTTGTTTGTAGGAATGGGGTCTTGTTGTGTGGCCTAGACTGGTTTTGTACTCCTGGCTTCAAGCGATCCTCCTACCTCAGCCTCCCAAAGTGCTGGGATTATAGGTGTAAGCCACAGCACCCGGCCCTTAGGGGAGTTTTCAATAGTAGAAAAATGAAACGTATTCATTACTTGGTACCTTATACAGTTTCTTTCACTGGAATGTAAACACTTGGCAAGAAGGATCAGGATCTAACTTCATCTTAGTGCCTCTCAAAACATCCAGCATTGCCTGGGCTGAACGTAGATTAAGTGCAAATGAATATGTTGCATGAATAAACATTAGTCAGCAAATAAAGATGATTTACACTTAGGAAGCAATGCTAATAATGGACATTGTGCCTGTAAAAGTTCAATGAAAAATGCATGGTCTTTACGTCACCTGCTTTAAATCCCCTCAACTGACTTATGACAGAGCATAATCTAGAAGAAGCATGGGATATTCTGCTCAATTTATTTCGCTCAAGGGTTTCTTTACAAAAGGTATAAATTCATGAAAACATGTGACTAATTCAAATGACTGTTTAACAGTAGTAAACAGATAAAAACAAATAAACGGTCCCCTGAAAAGCTCCAGTGTTTGTCGATTTGCTGATCTAAAGAATGGTGACTGGATGACAAGTCCTAGCTACATTACTGCAGACAAATACAGTGGGGTTTTTTCTTTGTTTTGTCTTGTTAACTCTTGGAGCTACATGCGCCAATGAAGTCATCAGGTTTTCAGTAATCACGGACATCAAGTAGTATCTGTAACTCTCATGTAAGTTTTTAGCACATGACTGTGTAAAGCATGGTTTTCTCCTGCTGGAACTTAATACGTGATGAACATGACTTTCCCCTCGCGTCTGTCTTTTGCTTTCAAGGTAGGGCCAACACCTTTGTCTCTGAATGTGTGCTTCACTGAATAAAGTTCTGCGTTGTCTTTTGTGCATGAATCCACCCATACTCCACTATTTGGAATTTCTTTTTGTTGTTGTTGTTGTTGTTTAGAGACACAGTTTTGCTCAGTTGCCCAGAGTGGAGTGCAGTGGCACGATCACTGCTTACTGCAACCTCTGCCTCCCCGGTTCAAGCAATTCTCCTACCTCAGCCTCCCAAATAGCTGGGATTACAGGCGCCTGCCACCACACCTGGCTAATTTTTGTATTTTTAGTAGAGATGGGATTTGACCATACTGGTCAGGCTGGTCTTGGACTCCTGGCCTCAAGTGATCCACCTGCCTCGGCCTCCCAAAGTGCTGGGATTATAGTCATGAGCCACTGCACCCGGACTGGAGTTTCCTTCTTTTTTTTTTTTTTTTTAAAGGAAAAAGAACTTCGAGACATTTGTATCTAATTCAACATTAGTTTTTCTTAAGTGACTTGTCATGTTTTATCTTTTCAAAGTTTCCAACTTAGTTTTTACGGAAACAAGAATTTTTCCACACTTGTATTTCATCAATTTTACATCATGCTTAATTAAATTTAAAAATTACAGTGATTACCAGTACCATAAGCGGGTTGGGGAACGAACACAACATACTCTTGCTAAGCGTGGAGACTTAAGCAGCTGGAGCCAAAGCAAAGCAGGTGCTCTTAGGAGGCTTCAGCCTCTGTGTTTTCCTATGCAAGTAAAGGACGTTGGTCAATCAAGCAAGCTTTTGAAACAGAGGTCAATTGTGGACATTTCTATTGCAGTGGATTGTTGTTTTGTTTTGTTTTGTTTTTAAGAGAGAATGTCCCTCTGTTGCCCAGATGGAGTGGAGTGGTGTGGCACAATCATGACTCACTATAGCCTTGACCTCCTGGGCTCAAGCAGTCCTCCCACCTCAGCCTCCCAAGTAGCTAGGTTTACAAGCAGGCACCATGATACCCAGCTAATTTTTAAAATGTTTGGTAGAGACAGGGTCTCACTGTGTTGCCCTGGCTGGTCTCAAACTCCTGGGCTCAAGCCATCCTCCTGCCTCAGCCTCCCAAAGTGCTAGGATCACAGGTGTAAGCCGCTGTGCTTGACCTTACTGCGGTGGTCTCAGTTGATGACAGCTTTGTCACTAGAGGACATTCAGCATCGTCTGAGGACATGTTTGGGAGTTACAATGGGGCGGGTGGGGAGCAGTACTACCAGCATCAGTGGGTAGATGACAGGGGTGCTATTAAACATTTCTCAATGTCCAAGGTAAAGCAATGTCCAAAACAAAAGATTATCTAGCTCAAAATAATGTCAAGGTTGAGAAATGCTGCTCCACTGTGATTTAAATGGATTTATTATAATGTATGAACAACATCGTTTTAAAAGATACCAGGGGACTCATCATATTAAAATATGTATAGTCTGGAAAGCAAAACTAAAAAGTTAAAAGATTAGACTAAGTTGTATCTCAACTCTGTGCTGTTAGTGTTACTATGATCAAGCTGCAAACATAAATCTCACCCTCAAGGTCAATGAGGCCAGAAAAGTTCATTCATTCCTGATAGGATTAACAAATATTTATTGAGCATATATGTTGGTGTCAAATGACAGAAAGATAAAGGGTAAAACAAACATTTAAAAGATACTTCTATTGTAATAAATGTCCTAAGGGAAGGCTAAAGGGAGGGGTGTTTCTTAGCTGGGGTATCCACAATTCCGGATTCTGTTTGGAAAGAAAAATTTTTTATGTAGACGCTAAATTCTTCAAAGAGATGAACGTGTGTGACCTTTCAGTGGCATAGTGGACAATGTCTTCAACTCTGGTTTTGCTGAAGGAATGAAAACTTTCTCCCCAAAGCCAATTTTTATAGCAATAAAATCTGATTGTTTAATATTATATGATTACTTAGGAAATAATATTTTTATAGAAACTAAACTTATTCATTTTTTAAGGAAGTATGGCTCTGTGGGAACCACCACTTCTCCAAAGTGCCCAGGTATTTTCACAGGGAGGAAATAGGAAGAGCGAGTTCTAACAGCTGGGAGGGTCAGGGAATGTCCTTTGTTGAGAAGGAAGTCCTTTGTTTGAATTGACACAGTAGGAAAAGAAAATGTTCATTTAAAGCTGAGGCTCTTAACCAGGATTGACACATTAGATTCAGGAGGCCGATGAACCACCTACAAGTGTGTACCACAGTGTGTGTGTATGTATATATTGTTATTTTCTCTATATAAGGTGTTTGTATCTTTCATGAGATTCTTAAAGGGGTTATATGACACTAAGGAGATTATACACCATTGTTGCTAAGAATTACACCTTTAATCCCTTGGTCTAAAGTTGAGCCCTTCTCTCCTTTTAAAAGAGATCAACATAAAGCCTCTATCTCCTCCTTCTACTCATTGTTCCCTTCTCTTTCCAAAAATACATTTCTGATTGAAAGACAAGAGATGGGCTGGGTGCAGTGGTTCATATCCCAGCACTTTGGTAGGCTGTCAGATCACTTGAGGTCAGGAGCTCAAGACTAGCCTGGCCAACATGGAGAAACTCCATCTCTACTAAAAATACAAAAGTTAGCTGGACATGGTGGCACACACCTGTAATCTCAGCTACTCAGGAGGCTGAGGCACGAGAATCGCTGGAACCCAGGAGGCAGAGGTTGCAGTGAGCCGAGATCGCGCCAGTGTAATGCAGCCTGGGCAACAGAGAGAGACACTGTCTGGAAAATAAAAAGAGAAAACGAAAGACAAGAGACGGCAATTAGGACAAAGTTAGTTCTGAAATTTGTCCCTGGTCATTTTTATTAATATGCTATAGAGCCTTTCTTTAGTGACTTTTCTTTTGCGCCATTTGAATTACAGTATCTACCTTCAACAGTCCCCAATGGTAGAACTTTATAACAAAGAAATGAAAAACAGCAATTTGCTACTAAAAGAATTCCATTTTGTGCTGTCCATGTTCCTTCATAAGCTTTGGGTGACAGAGGTCAACATGAAGCAACATCCCAAAAGGAATACGTTTCTCAGAGATTCTTGGAGAGAGATCATGGGTGCTTTGTTTAACATGTAAATGTCTACAAGGTGGTTTGGGATTTGTTTCTCCTTCTATTATCCTTTTGGATGTTGTACATTTTTACATTTTAATGTTTTGAACTCAGTTGCATTCAACCACCAGAAAGTAGAGGCAGATACTTTGCACATGTATAACATTTCCATTGAAAGTAACCATTGGAATGATTAATGGGAATTAACCAGAAATGCAATTAGTCGATTTTAACTTTCTAACCACCTGCATGTACGGCATCTTCTTTCTACCTGGTACCATAATACTTATTATGTGATTAAATACATTTTTGTAATTCACCAAAATGAACTGAATCACGCTTAATCTTCTTTTTCTCCTTCCCGCAGAGAGACGGCCACAGAGTTAGCTGGGAGTCTACCAAGGTGAGCATGCTGGCTTTGCTTATTCTATGCCTGATTTCTTATAGCCACAAAGAGAAGTACTGTGCCATGTCCTCTGTAAGAGGTCTTCTCATTTTGTCTTCCTTGTGTCAGATTTTGATACCTCATACATCACTATGCAAATGCCAAAAATTATGCATGAGTCACGAATACATGATGTAACCAAGAAGTAATGAGGCTTATGTTCATAAATGACTTAGAGAGATTATTCACATTCCTTTGAAGTCGTATGATATATTTGGAGATGTATATATGAGCTAGATATGCCATAGAAATCATAAACATGCTGCTTCCTTTATTATGCTCACGGGAATTGGCAATCGAAAAACATATTGAATTGGTTTTTTCTTCAATATATTCATTACTGTTACTGTGTTCGGGGACTTAGAGATTTATGAGAGAATCCTGATCTTCCCCTGAAGAGCTCACATCATAGTATTGATGGCATAAGTGCAGTGGAATTCTCATTGTCATCGAAATAAATACTTAGTAATATTATATCATAGAAAGAAATTAATATGTAATTGATCAATGTGTTTTATATGTAATGTATTAATGTGGTTTATATGTTTTTGTTATTTATGTCAATAATTAAATAAAACATGATTAACAGAATGCAAGCTCTAGATAACTAGCCATCAAGGATGATTACCAGCATTTAATGGAAGGGAGGGAGAAATGGAGAAAAGAAGGAAGGAAGGAGGAAAGGAGGACAGGAGAGGAGATGGAGATAAGACTAGGAAGACAGGAAGAAAGGAAGGAAGAAGGAAGAGAGGAAGGGAAGGAGAGGGGATGGGGGAGGGAAGACTGGGGAGGGAAGAAGAAAGGAAGAAAGGGAGGGAGGGAGAGAGGAAGGGGCAATAATTTAAGAGGTATTTTACTGGGCATTGCATGTATCTAGAATCTCTCCTGAGCACCAAGGATCATGCCTTTGTTTGTTATTGTTGTTGTTGTTGTTGTTATTTTTTGAGACAGAATCTCGCTCTGTCACCCAGGCTGGCGTGCAGTGGTGCAGTCTCAACTCACTGCAACCCCCGCCTCCCAGGTTCAAGCGATTCTCCTGCCTCAGCCTTCTGGGAGGCTGGGATTACAGGAGACTGCCGCCGCACCTGGCTAATTTTTGTATTTTTAGTAGAGATGGGGTTTTGCCATGTTGGCCAGGCTGGTCTCATTCCTGACCTCAGGTGATTGACCTGTCTTAGCCTCCCAAAATGCTAGGATTACAGGCATGAACCACTGTGCCCAGCCACGTGTTTCTTTGTTTTTTGTTTGTTTATGTTTGTTTGTTTTAGCTGGAGTCTCCTTCTGTCACCCAGGCTGGAGCACAGTGGCATGATCTCGGCTCACTGCAAATTCCACCGCTGGGTTCAAGCAATTCTCCTGCCTTAGCCTCCTGAATAGCTGGGATTACAGGCTTGCACCACCACGCCTGGCTAATTTTTGTATTTTTAGTAGAGATGGAGTTTCACCATGTTGGCCAGCTGGTCTCGAACTCCTGACCTCAGGTGATCCGCCTGCCTCAGCCTCCCAAAGTGCTGGGATTACAGGTGTGAGCCACTGTGCCCGGCCAGGTCGGATGTTTCTTAAAGAGAGGAGAAACTTACTCATCTACATGCGTAGAAGACATCAGGAGACGGGGGAAGGAGGCGGAGTCCTTGAGAAGACAAGAGGGCATGGGATCCAGGGCACAGACGGGATCAGCCTGAGAGGAGAGCCCAGGCTTCCATCTGAACAAGGATGGAAGCAGGAAAGGGCCGCATGGATTCAGAGCGGTGTGTGGGACTGGGGCCTCAGGGAGTCTCAGACATTCAGCCTAAGCATGGATGGGATTACAGGCGTGAGCCCCCGCGCCTGTCTCGTGCTTTAGTTTTTGAAGGTACTCGATAATCATGCGTGAATGTATTAATATGTCCTAGGATATTGCCTAGAAACTGTTGGAAGTAGAAATCGAGAGACTCTCAAGAACACGAAAAGCAGAGTGAGCACAGTGTTGTCATGAACAGTGCTGGAGAACAGGGGAAAGTACAAATTGTCGCCATCTGTTACCGGAGATAAGCACATTTGGTTGCTTTTTTTATGTAAAGAAAATCTTTGCTTATAGGATCATGATTAATATTGCCAAAAAAATCTGTTTACTGTGATCCAAATATTTAAATTACTGTATGTCTTCATTCTTTGGATAACATCCCAAAGAAACATTTCCATCGTGTGCCAGTTTTCAGGGTTAAAACTGTCCGAGTGTTCTGGTCTGTGTCTCCCTGCCGAGTTTGTTTGTCTTTGTGCTTTCACTCTGGAAAAAGTCCACCCTGAAGACCTGAGTATCCCATCATGTGTGGGGAGAGAGACTGTTGTGTGTCTACCCACGTTTGTGCTGAGGAAGTTAATCCTGAAATAATGGAATGAGGAATGACTTCCAAACTTTTGTAGAGCAGCTAAGGAGTGGACCACCTCTGTGTTGTCAGAAGAGACCCACTCCGTGCTGTAATCACACAGATGAAAATTACTCAGATGTCTGAGAAATCACCGTCAACACCCAGAATTCTATTAAGTAGCGCTGTATTTTGAATACCAAGCAGCAATGCGTTTATTCCCCAGGAACGATCTTTTGTAGCTGGTTTATTACCCAAGGGAGAAGCTGCTCTCTCCTTAAGTTTGGTGGGTGGTATTTTGGTAATGAGCCTACTTATTCTTCTTCAGGAATTTTTGTTATTCTAATGTCGAGTCATGTAGAAAATAAACAACATGCCAACATTCCCATTCTAACTGCAATTTGCAGTCACCGCACTGCCTGGCAATAAAGGAGTGAGAAATATACATCAGTGATTTCGCAATCGTGCTTCTAATATATAGCTTCAGGTATTCTTTTGACTTCTCCAGGGGCAGTTTGAGATGTAGCCATTGATAGGTATTTCCCTTCCCCACATTAACATGAAATAATGTGATTATTTGATGATGAATCCTTCCCTTGCATCCAGATTGTTTCTTTTGCTAGTATTTGTTTGTTTGTACAGTCTCGTAGAATTCCATCAGTTGTTTCAGCTTTCAGCCTTTTTTCAGATTTCTTCAGCCTGTCACAAGGAAAGTACAAATTAGCCCCGAAATACCTCGGTGCTGTGGAAAACAAGGCACCTGTAGTTATTTTGTGTGTTTGTAGGCTAATGATTAGTGGAACATGACACTGAGTTTTTTCTGCATTTAGTCATAAAAGTGCCCTTACTCTGTGACGTCTAGGAAAAATGGAAAATTGCAACTCAGGCAACGGCTAACTAGTGATATGTGGCTGGGAAGGAAGACGGTGGCATTTGAGAGCAGTTTTATGGTTTGGTTTTCATCGGCCATGACTGTCTTGAAATGTTCCGAAAGGCCATTTACACTGGTTGCATAAGGGTAGAGTATTTCCACTGTCATTACCTTACATGGTACTAATTTAAAGTACCCTGGCCACTGGTGGATAATATTCTGTGAAAATGTGCACATCCTGTAGCAGTGGATTGCGTCCGGGTAGTTAAAAATGCTTTGAAGTCTAAATGAGATATGTGCCCAAGGTGCTTGAACAGGCACTAGGTTTGTTTTTCATTACTAATGATAACCTAAATGTGTTTTTGAATTCTTGCCATTGCTGAAATTAAAGCCTGGTAGTAATAAGTCACCAGAAAAAAATTAGATTATATGAGCAACATGCACTAAGCATTGTAATTATATTATAAATATTAAAACCAATGATCTTGTCAGGATTAAAACAAATATTTAAACTGGCTACATGTACTATTCATGCCGATCTCTTTATCTTGAAGTGTCCCGGAAACGGGATGTATGGAACCATTTCTTGAACTGTGAAAACAATCATTTTCAATCTTATAAATGACTCCTTGCTTTTATTTTTGCTTGTAGCAAAGGACAATTTAGCAATCTGAGCAATTGTTTTCCCCATTACAATCATGTTTTTCAAGATCTGGTTTTTAGGATGAAGGGAGTTGCGTTTCAGTAGATGCGTTTTAATTAAATCATGGTGAAACCCAACTTGTTCAAATGGAATGAGATTTCAATATAAATGCCTATAAAGAGAGAAAATTTTATTTTGGATAGCTGAGTAAATATATAAACAAGGTTTATATCAACAGAGGTTGATATAACAGAGATTTTACTGTTTTACTGTGAGCTGCTGTTTTTGATAAAAAGGGAGCATTTTAATTCCTTGTTAACAGAGTCCACTGTTATTCAGCATAAACAGTTTAGAAAATGAAGGGATATAACAGACCTTAATAGAAGTATCTTAAGTACTGCAGTAGAGATTCACATGCTGATTCTTATACACAACACCAAAAAGTCAGGATGTTCTCTGAGGACCATGAAGTATTCGTCAATGAAGCTTAAAATAATTCGGAATATAAATCAGATGTCATCTTGTACTAGATTTTAGTATAAACCAGTGAAAGCAGGGGCCAAAAGTTAAAGTAAAGTTATAAAAGAAAAATTTAGACTTTTCCCTTGTATATTAATCCAGTAACTTGATCTCTTTTTTTTGCCTTCTGTGAGGGGGTTAGGAAACAATTCAATCTTAGCAATTGGGGAGCCCCCAATACCTAGAACACTGGCGTATACCATAGGATTATTGTTTGAGAGCCTCTACCAGGAAGACAGAACTGCCTGGTTTGCATGACTGTCAGAGACAAAAGCCATTATACTGCCGTTTTGCGTGTGAAATTCTGGTCTTAAGTCATAGATCTTTGTTATCTGAAATTTGAGCTAAACAGATTCCGTTTAATGGACGGGCGAGACTTACCTCTCCAGTTGACCATATATTTCTCAGTCATGGATGTGACAGATCAGGGAGCAATAGGCAGAAACAGTGGAAGCAAAGAGAATTCAGATCATCTCTGAGAGCTCACCTTTCTACATGGAGGGCTTTGATAGGTAACAAGACCTCCTATTTCTCACTGTCCTCAGGACACAGTGCCATCTTCTGAAAGACTTTCAGAAAT